AGGGAAATCCTTAAAGAAGACGAATCTGGTTCACTAAAAGCTACCATTGAGGACATTCTTTTCAAGGCTAAGCGAAAAAGGTATGGCGTTTATCCACAAGCATGTTTAAGAAGTGTCAGCTTATTGTCAACTATGAGATCTCATTGAGGACATTCTTTTCAAGGCTAAGCGAAAAAGGTATGGCGTTTATCCACAAGCATGTTTAAGAAGTGTCAGCTTATTGTCAACTATGAGATCTTCGTTTCAAAACTGAATCCTTTGGATAGATGAAGCGTCTCTACACCTGCAGTAATTTTTGGCCTTTGCTCCTTCAGAACTCTAGATGTAGAACTCGGGCTGCTATTTGTTGCTCGACTAGGGGTGGTGGGGGGGAACTTATTTTAGTCTTTAGTTTCTTCTAAGAGTGAGTGATGTGTGCTAATCAAGGAGGTTAGGTCTTGATCTGATATCCTGTATGTAGCAGTGTAATTGCAATAGTTGGACGGTTCTGAGCGAATTCCCTGGCTTATCTACAAATTTTGCTTTATTTTTTTTTATTGGCACATGATTCTTGTTTTATGCTGTCAGAAGAGTTGCTGGACAAAATTAGTGGGGGTTTTTTGGTTGGTTGGTTTGAGTTTTTTTTTTTTTTGCATATTACAGTAAAACTTTCCAAGTTAGGTGAACTTTTAAAGTTTCATTAAATCTAGTTATAAGAACTCTAGTTTGTTTTCTAAGAGTTGCTAGATCTGTTTATAGTCAAAGGTTGAGTTTATAATCTCCTCTTTTGTTTCTTTTCAATTGAAGTAAGTTGCAGTGATTGTCCTGAGGAATGAGCATTCTGTATATGCTGGAATTGTGGAATTGGAATCTTTTACAATTAGTCATTAATTTTGTTGCATCTTATTTAAAATCTGTGTTTGTTTATTTAGACTCCAGGAACACCATGGACAGGTTCGACTCGGGATGGTATGTTGATAGCTTATTCTTGTCTGTCCTGTGTCTAAAACTACTTGAACTGCAGTAGTATGCCTAATATGAAGAGCACTTTTACTTTATATTGCAGTGACTGAAGCTTTCTTTTTGTCACCCTGCAGTTTTTTTAGACTTTTTTTTTTTTGAGCTTAGTGGTAGTGTGGAATGTTAAGCATTAATAGCTTCAGAGGTTGAGATTTGGTGTATTTTTTGCATCAGGACATGCTTTGCAGATGCAGTCAGGTCATACACATTCTTGCTGTTCTACTTTCTCTATCTAAATGGGTGGACAGAGTTTAAGTGAATTGTAAATGGTAATATTGCTTTATGACATGTTGAGTTTCTCGGGTGAAGAGATTAAATGCAAGTTTGCAAGCTATGATAATTTTGTAACTTACTTGGGGGCATAACTGAATATTAGTCATAAAAGACTCTTTTGTTTCCTTTTGAAGGAAATGTGGAAAAATAATCCTTTTTTTCTGTTGTTTTTGATTGCATAGCTTTAAAACGTATGATTTGGTTAGCATTTTAAATTTTCTTTTACATTTGAGTAAGGGAAATAATGAACCACTTATTTAAGCACTGTTCTGTGGATGTCAAAATTTGATCTTTGTCTTAAACTGGGAACTTGTAGAATTGGTATTATGTTGATATTGCAGATGCGTCACCTTTATGTGGTCATTGATGGATCAAGAACTATGGAGGACCAAGACTTAAAACCCAACAGACTTACTTGCACTTTAAAGGTATTTCTGTACTCAAAATTTTCTCTTACTTACTGACTGCTCCTCTGTAAATCATTTTCGTGTTGTATTTAGAAATAATTTCTTGTGACTAGATGATTTGCCTATCCTCACCTTTCATCTCATCCCTGCTTTTCTTTCCCTCCTTGTTTTATGTTACTAGAGTGTAATTCTCCAGGAACAGGTTTTTTGAGTAATAAATGTAAGATTAGTTTGCCTTGCAGAAGTGTTAGGGCAGAGTGAAAACAATTGCTAAGGATGTATTATGAGATGATAAAGAAGTATATGGAAATTGAGCTGAAGTGCTGTCCATAATAACGGGTGGGAAGAGAGCAAATATACTTTGTTAACACATATAGCAATGCTTAGTTTTTTCTTATGTTTGTGGCTTCAAAAATTCTGATTTGCGTGGATGCTAGGCAGAAGTCATTTCTAAATTCAGAGAAGCAAAATTGGATTCTAAAGTCCTATAGGATTTTTGCTAATAACATCAAGCATTGTACAAAATATTAAAAACCTAGGATTTCATATTAATGCTTTTTGTTGCATCTTAAATACCTATTTGGATTAACATGAATCTAGACCTTTAATATACAAAGTCAGTGAAATGAGTTTTCTGAAATATACTTTCCATAAATAATACAGGAATGAGAAGGGTGCAAGGGCTAAGGTTTCTTTGGCCAGAGGAAGGAGAGTGGGAGTGAAGGTTCGTGCTTCCTTTTCCTTCTACTCCCCCATTTTTTTCATGTCACTGAATCTTTGCTTTGCAGGTGTTAACCACTCAGTGTATTTGGAATTAAACTGTTTATATTTTTTTAACAATCTTAATTTTTCTTTATAGTTATTGGAGTATTTTGTTGAAGAGTACTTTGACCAAAATCCTATTAGTCAGGTATGTACAATCACTATTACCACAACTGATTAAAGAATTGAAGCCTCTTCTGAAAGCTTAGTTTTATTTCTTAACATTGTCTAGTAAACTGTTTTCAGCTGATATATTCCTTTCCTTCCCTTCCTCATCAGGCTGATGATGTCTTTTTTTCTTTAACTAATGAAAAATAGAACACATATATATATCCCCCATCTCCTTCCTTTTTTCTGAGTGTGAATTGTAACACAGAAGACTTGATTAGACTTTATTTCAGCATTAGAATTTAGAAAGAGTTATTTTACATTTTGTGACTATTAAGATGCAGGAGTGTACGTTAATTATGTGTAGCATTGTCCTGCTGTCGTTACACTTAAAGCCTTTATAGTTAGCTAGTTGGTGTTACATCTTCTGTGATACTTCTTTTTGGGTCAAAAATATAAACTAAGTTGATTCTAATTTCTTAAGATATTTTTTTTGTCTTTTTCTCCTTCAGATTGGCTTAATTGTAACAAAGAGTAAAAGAGCTGAAAAAATGACAGAACTTTCAGGTAGGATGGTAGTGTTCTCTTTAAAATTGAAGATCTGTTGTCATCTCTTGTACTAGAAAGCCTTGATATTACAATTCCATCTGACAGTGGAGTACCATTAACATAGTATTTTTGATTAAAGTTACTTTTCAGTGTAATTGAACTTTTTCAGTGTAATTGTACACTTTTCAGTGTAACTGATTTCAGGCAACTTGCAGATAACTGTTTCAATCTGTTTGGATCCAGAACTGGCACCGTCCATTTGTGCCTAATCAAGTCTTACCCAGAATTCGAGGGAAATGTTTTGTCTCCCTTAAAGTTAATATGTTACTCTGTCAGTTAACTTTTACTTACTGACATCCATGTGTTCTGTAAGATTAGACAAGATGATAAGAAGCAAGATTTCTTCGCTTTCTATATTCTTCCACTAAAAAGTTATGTAGCTTCAGGGAAGTTGTTTAAAATCTGGTCTCTTTACCCATTTGTAAAATTGGAACAAATGTATTGAGCTTGAGGGTCAATCAGTGTTTGAAGGATAGGAGCTTTGAGGATAATCGGAGAAGCAAAAAACTAAACACTGTTTCTACTGACATTCTTTGAGTTAGTTCAGTTTTTCTCTCTCAGCTTGTTAAGTGTTTAATAATCTATACCAGTGACTTTGTTTTTGATCTTTTGAGTTTTTAACAGCTGTACCTGTAGAATAAATGTATTTCTGACAGTAATGCACTATTTTTAAACACTCTGGCCAAAAGATCAATTTGTAAGAAGTGGAGACCTGCAAGTAACAGGTTGAAAGCCTTTGCTCATCAAGTAAAATTCATAAAATATGTATCATAAATATTTGCATTTTTAACTTATTATTTTCGGTGAATGTTTTATTCTCTTGCAGGTAACTCAAAAAAGCACCTAACTGCTCTGAAGAAAGCAGTAGATATGAACTGCCATGGAGAGCCATCTCTATATAATTCCTGAAATTTGGCTATGAAGACTTTAAAGTTAGTATATAAACAGCTCCTTTCTTTCCCTGTCTGTTTTCCTTAATCAGTATAGTGCTGAGGGGTAGGAAAGGCTGATTTTGACAAGTACTGCCTTGCATTGTGCTGCCCAGAGTCTTTAAAGAAGGCTTCACATTCTTCACATTACAAATCATTAGAAGCGAACTTCTGCACTGCTACCATATTCAGTATTCTAAGACAAGATGCTTCTGTTTAGAGACGCACCTCTTACAAAAAGTAGCAGAAAGGGAAATTTGGGATAGGATAGACTTCTGAACCCCATTTTATACATATTTGCCATGTGAAGTGTTGAGAGGATAAAAATATTTGTAGGATAATTTGCTTAACAAATGGTTATAGCTAGTAACACTATCAGAAAGAAGCTAGTAGGATAATTTGCTTAACAAATGGTTATAGCTAGTAACACCATCAGAAAGAAGCTAGTAGCAATGTCATAGAAAATTATTTGAGCATATCGGAGAAGTGTTTTCCATGAAGAACTGTGAAAGGTAAGGTAGTAGTTAAAGTAATAGATTCACATCTGTCAATAGATGAGAGGGGTTTTTTTTGGTGGTGGTGGTGTTTTTGTTTTAAGAAGGTGAGAGGACTTACTACTAGTTTGAAGGTGAATTTTTACTTGTGAGAGTATGGATAAGTTACAGGGTAGCATGGTGACTGTATCTATCAAGCAATCAGATGACAGAGAAAATCAAATATTGTGTGTTAGATACTGGTAAGTTATGACATTATGACAGATGAAATACTGATTCCCAGAAAAGTTTTTTTTAATCTGTAGGCATTTTCATATTGTATTCTTTTCTGACTTCAGTACATCACAGTCCTTGAAAACTTTAGCATATGTATAGCCTAGTGTACGTAGGTGGATTAACTGTATACTTTCTTTAGGCACATGCCAGGACATACAAGCAGAGAGGTTTTGATAGTCTTCAGCAGTTTGACAACATGTGATCCAGCCAACATCTATGATCTAATTAAGGTACAGAAGTGAAGTTTAACTAGTGCTGCAAACCTCCAATCTCTTGGACTAAAACCAATCAGTTAAGATGTCATAACCATTAAATTATCGTTTAAAACTTTGCACCTTTCTACCATTTTCAGTTCTGCTGATGAATTTGAGTATGCTTTCTTTTTCCATGTGAAGTGCTTAAAAGCGGTTAAGATCAGAGTATCTGTCATCGGTCTAAGCGCTGAAGTTCGAGTTTGTACTGTGCTTGCCCGAGAAACGGGTGGTATGTATCTGAAGTCTTGTAAATATACTTGAAAGTTGAAATTTGAAATTAACTACTTTGTCATATTTCCTTGTTTGAAGACAATTGTTCTCTTATGCTAGGAGAGAATTTTAGGGCTTCTCCAAGTTAAAAAATTAATAACATTTAGTGAAATAATTATCAGCTTTCAGCTGCTGCTTTGGAAGAGGAAATATATCCAAAACGTAGTGTTCCACAGATAAAGCTATATGATGTGGAACTTTAATATGTTAACATCAATTTTTGTAACAGTAACTCCTACAATGTAATTACTAGTAATGTTAAAGAGAAAAGCTGTCGATATTCTGATGTAATTATAAGGTGTTCTTATGTAATTTATTCTGTTTTTGTGTGGGTTTTGTTGTTGTTGTTGTTTGTTTTTTTTAGTGTCAACACTGAATACTTTTTTCTAACTTAAGTTGTCATTATGTTATTCGTAGGAATACGTCTGTGTTACTTAAGAGTTTACAAATTAATATTCTGAGTGTGGGTCATTTCTTTGACAGGAACATACCACGTTATTTTAGATGAAAGTCATTATAAGGAACTGCTGATGCATCATGTTAGTCCTCCACCTGCCAGTTCAAGTTCTGAATGCTCCCTTATTCGAATGGGTAGGATATGGTTTTGTTCAATTTCAGGTGCAAGATATAAGGTTCTTTTTCTCTCTTTTTATCTTCTGTTTTGAAGTAATACAGGTGGCTGGAAGAATTTTAAAGATATTGCACAATTGGTTCTTTTTATTTTACCACTTTTGTTTTAACAGATAGATTTCGATTTGCTTAGTTTTGTGTTGCAACTTGCGAAGGAACTGACTCCAGTGTAATGCACTGACAACATTTTATTGAGTATAAGGCAAAACTTATATACTGTACTATTATACTGGATACAATACCTTATTTGTCTAAAAATATGGGAAATACAGTTACTAAATAAACCAGTAATCTAAAGGCTTATATTCAAACTATCCAATCAGCTTCTGAGTCGTGTCGCAGCCATACAGTTGCTTTTGTTTTGTCTGCTGGTGGAACACCTGCACTGTTGTCGTTGATGTTGGCTATCTATAAGAAGAATAACAAGATGTCCCCTACTATGGCCCTTGAAGCAGGCCTCCACAGTTTTGTTCTTGCAAAATGTTCAGCTTTTAAATTTAAGAATTCATCTTTTAAGAATTAAAACAAGTTAGACTCAACACTCAAGTGTAGTTGGAAGCACTAAGATGAAATTACATTGCTTCTGCAGTAATTGGAATATATGCAGTATTTAAAAACTGAGGGAAGAACAATTGTATTTTGTTTCTCCCTCTGTGTTTGTCTCTGAAGGCAACTATCATAAGTTTCATGTGCTTTAACAGCGTTCTGTTTTGCTTCCTAGTGGGTGCTTGTTTGGAGCACTGTCACGTTTTTTTTCCTTCAACAAATGAACTGGGTACCTTTCCTGGTGTGGTTCTCATTAAATTTAAACCTGAAATTAAACCACAGTAGAAACAGTAGTGCCAGTGACTAGAGAACTTTGTTCTTACTTCCATCCATCTGTTTCCATAGATAAAAATGTGCATATTTTCATATGGAAACTTAAATACTTGAGGGATTTGCTTATTACAGCTGAAGCTTGTGCGATAATAGGAAAAAAAAAAATCCTGCTTGAGGTAGGCTGTACAAGTAAATGATATGAAGACTGGTGCTGCCTCCATAAAATGCTGTAGTCTTATCTATCATATACTGTACTTAGAAACTATATTTAGTCTTAATATATAAGCAAAATTTTTAATTAGTAAAATTCTAGTATGAATATTCATTGCTTATTGTTCATGAATATTCGTATAGAGCTCTTTCTGCTTTCCTACCGTTACACACATTTGCTTTTTGATTGGTCTCAAAAATTGTGTTTCAGTGACCTGCTCTTCCTATTAAGTTTCTGAACACATTTTTTTTTTCTCAGTTTTTCTGAAACTGAACTGTTTTCAGTGAACAGTTTTTCTTTTCAGCTGGGGAAATAAAATGAGAGATTTGGTGGGTATGTAGGTAGAGACTTTTAGGAAGGATTTCATATCTGGTAAGAGTATATTGCTTCTTGTAATAAAATAAATAAAATTAAATATATTTTAAGGGAATTTAACATTTAGAATAATCTTTAAACTTTTCAAATACAAAACCAAAAGATTACAAGTATGTTTAAAGTAGATAATATGAAATATTTTTTCTCTTAGGTTTTCCTCAGCACACTATTGCTTCTCTATCTGATCAAGATGCAAAGCCATCTTTTAGCATGGCGTAAGTAGAGCTGATTAGAATTTAATGAGCTGATTAAAATTGAGTATTAGAATTCAATGATATCTAGATATATTTTGAAAATTTGTTTTCTGATGAAAATATGGCAAAATGTCATTAAAAAGGACTGGCAACTAATGTGACTTCTCATTAGAAATCTTGCTTTAACTTAGAGTTTCTGTATGTGGACGTAGTTACTTGTGTTCTTTAAAGAAGTATACTTTCAAAATTCTACATTAAAGAAATTTTGAAGGTAATACATGGCTTTTAGATGTATGTTGTGGAGTGTCCAGAACACAGGGATCCCACAAGGTATTGAAATTTTTACCAATTTTACTAGCATTTTTGCATTGAGGAATTTTCTTATCCTTGTAAAGGTATGATCATGATAAAGAAAGATATTATCTGGAATTAACTCTTTACTTACTTATTGCTTTACTAATGTTCAGTGATATAAAATGGAAGTTTAAAACAATTGCCTCAGTTTGATTAATATAACAGTGCTCTTTGTGAAAGGAATCATCGTCTTCAAGGCTGCCAGAGCAGCATGAGTTTTCAGAAGGAAACGATGCTGTTAGAGGGAATAAATACTAATGTGCATCATAAAGTCAGTATAGACTACTGAAGCATATTGACTATGTATCAGTAGTACTGATACATTTCATAACTTTGTTTTTCTAAAGATAATTTGATTCTTCATGTGGGGAGAATTTGTTTTAGTTCTACTTTTGGGGGAAAGTGGTGACCGATGTCTCGCTGTATCTGTTGTTTTCTGAGTCTTCTATATAGATAACAGGTACAGAAACTTTTCAAACAATATTTGTTCTGAGAACTAGTTAGTATTACCAATATTATGTAGTGTTACCCGTTGTGTAGTGTTACCAATATTGCCATTATTAATGGTGGTATTTATACAGCTTCGCAGCATACCATCATTTAGAAAATGGTACTGATTTCTTGCTTCAACCTCCTGTCTCTCCTGTCTGTCTCCGTTCCAGTCAATTGGAAAACAACAGTGAGCCAGGTCTTACGCTGGGTGGATATTTCTGTCCCCAGTGCAGAGCCAAATATTGTGAACTTCCTGTGGAATGCAAGATCTGTGGTGAGTAGCAAGAATAGCTGAGCAAATGGATTGTGTTAAAGATAAGATACTTAAAGGGCAGGAAAAATCAACTGTAACGTGATAATCAAAGGCCGGTTCTGCCTTAAGAAGCCTTCATTTCCTGTGTTTTGAAATGTCAGATTACTGTGAGGAATCTGAGGATTCTACCTGTAGTGGTAAAGTTTTATCACGTTGTTAATTGTAAATAAAGGGTGTTTTCTTGTTTAGGTGTTTGTGTGGGGCTTTTTTGTTTTGTCCTGAATTCTCCATATATTCAAAACTGTCACAGACAGAGGAAAGCTTGAGTGGATGGTGTAATTACCTCCTGTTCAGTTTCACAAATACATCTCCAGTAGTAGTATCAATATTTTGATACTATTTGATACTATGATAAGCGGCCCAGGATGATGATAGAGAAATGCAAGAACGCCAGAAATATTTTCAAATCAGCATGTACTGTATGTGGCAGAGCATAATAAGCTGTAGGCAATTTACTATCTTACCTCAGGGACTAGGACACCTAAGACACACATAGTGGTGCTTCAGACTCCTCATTGTTAGGCCATAAGGATGAAGTACCAGGGTGGAAGTTTTGTCCCCACTGCTACGAGTCTGTAGATGAAGGTTTCAGAAGAGAAAACTGAAGGACAGGCACTGCACATGGCACGTGAAAGGCTGCAGAGTTGCAAATGGAAAAGTCTTTAGCCTTGCAAAGATTAGGGAACTGTACAACATAGAGACCCCTGCCTCCCTGCTTAATGGCAATGGGGGGGATTACCTTTCATATTAGGAGTGTTGTGCTAGCTACAGCTTTATTTTAGCTGTGAAGCCTATTAGCTTCTACCTGGGCATGACTAATGTGTGATACATGTGCATTTGGCAAGAGAATAAATCATTCTAATTTAAGGTCACTCTCTCCTAATTCATACCATTTTTTGCATACCAAGAGCAGTTTAATTTCAGCAAGCTAATAGTGTGCTTAGAAATCCCATATTATCAACAAGAGATCCCTTGTGGTTGTCAGTAAAACAAGAGGTGGAAGGGTTATGTTGCACATGAGTGAGTGCTGGGGAAGTCCCTGCCAGCCCATGCAGCATCATGAGCTTGTGTTAGCCTGAAGAGGCCTGTGGTGTGGCTTGGCAGCCTTACAGCAGTGTACAAATGTATTTCTAAAGGCTGAATTAATCTTTTAATTGCAAATTTAGAACAAATATATTCATTGCTTGCTGTTTTAATTGATATTTGGATTTAATTCTGGAAATGATTACAAATTTGGATTATTGAATCTGACAAGCTTTTTAATTATTAAAATTTTGACTTACTAAGCATCACTTTTCTGTTTTGTAATTTTGTTTTGTCTAATATAACAAAAAGCTTTGGGGAAATTTTTGTCTTGTAATAATTCTAATATCTCTTTATTTGCAGGTCTTACATTAGTTTCTGCACCTCATCTGGCTCGGTCTTACCATCACTTGTTCCCTTTGGATGCCTTTCAGGAAGTTCCTCTGGCAGACTATCAAGGGGAGCGGTATGTAAATCATATACATGATAAGGAATGTACTTGTGGTCTTTTTGTCTTAAGAAAGTAAGAATAGTTGGCAGTAACTTCTGTACTATTGGTGATACCATCGAATGTTTGGTGGCGGTTGATCACCTCTGATAGTAAGAAGTGTTTGTAATTTTCATTAGCTGTTATCCTGTGTGTTCAAGTGAATACCTGAGGGAAAAATAATAAATTATTATTGTGTATGCAAAGACAATATAAAACAGTGTTTAAGTACTTTTTTTTTTCCAGTAAAAATGCACAATTTTACATTGTAGGTACTGTCAAGGCTGCCAGGGAGAAATGAAAGATCAAAATGTAAGTATGTAAACACTATTGAAACTTGCATTAAGGGGTGTCAAAGATAATCTTCTAGTAGTGTCTTTTAAAAAAAAGAAATAAAAAACTCTGGAATGTTTCAGTTATACAGTTTTGCCTTTAAAACACATGTGGGAAGGGATTGCCCTTGGAGTTGCATAAATAAACATCCATCCACTGTTTTCCATTTGCATATACCTCAGTATTTTATGCATTTTAGCTATTAGAACCCATACTTCAGCTAAAGTGCAAAATATTGAGTATATTACGTTATTTTGATGACACCAATACTGTCCTGTTGCAGTGCTGTAATACTAATAACTTTCTTCTACTTTGTTTTGTTTTTCAATCTTTTCTACACAGGTTTACATATGTAAAGTATGTCAGAATGCATTTTGCGTGGAATGCGACTTGTTTATTCATGATTCTCTACACTGCTGTCCTGGCTGTATTCATGAGCACCCAACTCCAGCATCTGTATGATGCTGCCTCTTATTAGAAGCTGTCATCTCTGTTTCATTTTTACATAAGTCTGTTGTGTTTATTCAGCCAGAGCTCTCACTGAAGCACATCAAAACAAGAAGAAAGGTGTAGATGAATACAAAAGGATGAATGCTGTCTTGGGAGCCAATTTAATTTTACCTAGTGTATTACTGGTTTTGTTACTGCTAGTATATTCATGGCTCACCTGTGACTTTTCTCTGCTCTTGTTTGAAAGGCTCCGTTTTTTTTTGTGAGTGCATTGTGTGAGTAACATGTAAATTTGTAAATGTAAAACTGATAAAATTGGCTTGTATGTTAATATGATTTGTTTGTTTCATCATTATTGAAAAAAAAGCCCTGAAAATATAGTTTATACGTTAGTTGTCATATACCATATACTCTTTTTTTTTTTTAAAAGGACAGTGACATTTGCTGTTAAATTCTAGAGTAGAATATTTTTGTAGAAAGTTAACAAAGGTATTTCTGAGCGATTGGTTGGAAGACATTTCAAAAAGAATTTAAAATACAGATGTGGAAAACAGTAAACCCCTTATGCAGTTCCCCATTTTCTATACTTATTGCATACAAAACACCCATGTTTTTGCAATTTTCACAAGCAGTTTTTTGTTTCAAAACCTTTAAATTTGCAAGTTCTCTCTTGTTAGTATAACTACTTTTGTGCTTAGTGTAAGGTGTCTGCCTACCGGCCGCTTAGAACACGGGAGTTCTGCTCTTTATGGTGAGGGCAAATGAGAGTTTCAGGATCTGTGTGCATTTCTGTGCAGAGTGAAACCTTCTCTATTGCAAGCTGGGTCCTTCTCTATTGCAAGCTCATTTTTCTCATCTAAATATGGATTTTCATAAGGTAGCAGAAACAACGGAGGTGAAATTCCAACAATGTGTGATCAGCTGCAGGGGGGTTATAACCTTGCCATGAGAAGTGAACGCAAGAGATTAAAATCTTTCTTGTCCTAGAAGTCTTTCACATGATCTCATACCGAAATTGCCTCTGCTGGGTTTTATCACACAAGTGTTGAATCTGAGTGTCTAGTGTTCCTGTTGTGAATTAGTGTTATTTGCTGCTAAGCTTGGATGTTCTCCATATGAACAACACAAAAGATTTTGTCCCACATCTGAATTTATTCTTGGCAAAGAAGTGGGTAATATCCCAAAGTATGACATGGGTGTTCAGTATTTGGAGAGCAATCCCACAGAGCTTGTATGCAGCTGCAAGGAGACTTCAGTCCTTTGGCAGGTGGCTGTTCTGTGCCAGAGGAATGCAGCCTGGTTTGCTTGCCAGACCTGGATTTTTCTTTACAGGTAATGAAATGATGTTTGGAAAGATTCCTGTTTTAATCTATGAAACAGTGTAGGTCTGATTACAATATTTAAATTGATTTTTTTTACATTTCTTTTGATATTTTGATATTTCTTTTTATTAGTATATAAATTGTATAAATCCTGGGCATTTTGTTTGTTTTCTCATTCTTCTGTTTCAACGGTGAATAAAACAAGAAGGATTTTGTTTGATTGATTATTCACACACAAAAAAAAGTCACAGAAGCCTAAGAATGTCTGTATTAGTTGAGACTGAAGTAATCTGACCAATTTCCAACAGAGATGGTAGGATGACACCTTGGAAAGAGTAAGAAAGGGAAACATTATAGTTCTTCCTTGTGTTTGCAAAACCCCAGACTAGTTTCTACATGGTGGGCTTTTCCTAGCAATAAAGTTTGAACTGATGTTATTTCTTGGTGTACATGTGGCTCACATAAAACCTGCAAAAGGATATGATAATCTTGGAGAAATGGAACTCTCTACAGGCAGATGAGAAAGATAGTGCAGTGTTTTGCTTGTGGTGGATATCTGGGAAATAGGGAAGATGATGATGTTCCCTGGAGAGAACACGCAAAATGGATCCCTGAATAACTGACTGTTCTAGAGATACTTCATGTAAAAAAGTTTGATTTGTTTTGAGATCTTTTTTTTTCCTCTTAGCAATAAGATTGGTTGTTTATTTATTTTGTCTTCAAGGATGTTGTTTTTTTAATAATTATTACTTTTATGTAGCTGAAGAGTGAAAATATGCAATTAAAAATAAGCATTTTTTTAAAAAGTTTCTGCAGGGAAAGCATTTTGCAGCTTCATTTATCAAGGAGACTTCATCTATTTGTATATATACAAGTACATATACAAGATATGAAAGTAGAATGTACTGATTGTTTCTTTTCTTTAAAAAACATTGCCTTTGTATTTTTTTACTATAGATTACCATTAAAAATGAAAACTGCCCCAGATTATTTTTTTTGAACAAGATTGCATGCGTGAAAGGTAAGTTGTGTATTTCCTAAAACCCTTTTATCACAAGTAAGAAATTGCTTGATGTGGGAGCTGTGTGTAAAATGTGCAATTTAACTAGATTTCTGTAACTTGCATTTGCTTGTGTTTGCGAGAGAGAGAGAAAGAGAGAGAGAGAGTACGAATAAGTAAAACCTGAAAGGTTTGAAAGAAAAACAAAGATTCTTATCTGTGATACCAAATAGTGGTATGTGGTTATAGTTCTGTGTAAGATACATTCTTGCAATGATTTTGCTTTGCTGTGAGCCTGTCAGATACATTTGTAAACTGGTTCTACCCTGTTTTAGAGCCTGATAGTAGACCAGAGCTTTCCCCCTTGTCAGATATCTCTGATTGCGAAACTGGGCATCTTCAACATCTTTGATGATGAAAGAGTTCTACTGGGTTCTTTGAAAACTTGGCTAGCAAAAGCATATCATAGAATCATAGAATGCTTAGGGTTGGAAGGGACCTCTAGAGATCATCTAGTCCAACCCCCTGCACACGCAGGGTCACCTAGAGCACGTGGCACAGGACTGCATCCAAGCAGGTTTGGAAGATCTCCAGAGAAGGAGACTCCACAACCTCTCTGGGCAGCCTGTTCCAGTGCTCTGTCACCCTCACTGTTAAGAAATTTTTCCTTAAGTTCGTGTGGAACTTTTGGTGTTTCAGTTTGTGGCCATTACTTCTAGTTCTGTCAGTGGCCACCAGTGAAAAGAGACCAGCACCATCCTCCTCACTGCCTCCCTTGAGGTACTTATAGACACTGATCAGGTCCCCTCTCAGCCTTCTCTTCTCCAGGCTGAACAGG